TAGTCGTGAGGTAATGTTCAGGGTACATTTTTAAAATGAATAGTTTTGGTGAAAGATGTTGAAATAGAAAGGAACTAGCAATGGAGATGGGGTATTTGTCAGAGTGTAGTCAAAAAGCTTGTATGAATGGTCATTATGTTATGCAATTCTACATTAAGAAGTTAATCATACTTAAAAGGAAAATAATTGCTAGTAATTACTTAATGTCTCTCATTTCCTGCTCTTTCTACTTGAAGCACAACTTGCTAGTACACACTTTGCACTAATTACTTGTGCGGTGCTACCCTGAGAAGATATGTTTGGAATACACTCTGAGTTGAAACTTTTTAATTCATTTGCAACCTTATAACCTTTGCAATCTTAGTCCTCTGTGGCAGGGTGCTGCCGCCCCCACCACACACACACACACACACACACACACACACACACTCATCAGTTGGATGTATTGCTTTAAAGCATAAACTGTACCTTTTTGCACCTATCTAAATTATTTTGGAGCAAAAGATGTACACAAAAACAAATACGTAATTATCTATGAAAATCATAATTACTGCCATGTTTCATATTCCTAAATTGTGTCACAGGCTCAAAAGGAATTGTTAATGTTTTGTATGTTGCAAAAATCAATTGATGTAGACAATATTAAACTGGACCTTTACCCCCTTTGACTAAAAATCACCTCAGCATACAGCTCTGCATGCTGATTTGAAATGATATTACATTTATTAGCTAAACAAACGTATTTTTATTTTACTTACAATTATTTTTTTTCTACTTCCTGGTCTTCTTTGGCACAAATTATGTAAGGTGCCCAAGTGTTGCATCCTGGGAAGGTTACATGAGCATAGCATTGCTGGGAAATCTCATCTGTAATCTCATGAGATCACATGGAAAGGCATTTTTTCCCCTGAAAGGATGTGTATGGCCAAATGTCTTAGTCGCATGTGCCAGAGTTCCAGGAAGTAAAGGGAGATCTAGTAATCTTCCCTTAGTTAACATGGGCACTGTGAGAAGAATGGGAAAGAAAAGAAAAATAAGGTATGCAAAAAATAAAAAGTCTGCAGTTATTTATACATATCTGTTTGTAGATTGTCAGTACTGAACCTTTCTAAAGGTGCCTTTGCTGTTATTTTGAAGATTTGGGTAAAGTTCCTTTTTAAGTCTATTCTGCAATGTGCTGCAGTTAACTCTAGACACAACAAAGAAACGTTTTATGCATTGGACACTGAATATCCTGAATGCCTGCAAATAGATATTGGGACTTTTTTATTACCCCATTATCTAGCTGTCCCCAAAGTGCTAGCCCCTACCCACAATGTCTCCATCAGCTATCCATCAGCTATCCATGCGTGCATGTTCCTGGCTGCACCTACAGCTAGCTGTTTGCATCCATAGACACACACAGCTTCTGGTAGGCCATGCCGCTGCTCTCATAGTCACAGTCTGACTGAAAGCAGAAGTAGCCTATCGCTCCTTTGCCCTCAGTACTCTCCCCTACAACCAGGTAATTTGGGGAATGCTGTGTATCTTCCTGGTCCTGGTGGAGTAGACAAGCAACCACAAGTAAGGGAGGGGGACAGGGAATAGAATGGTACTGGGCATCATACCTTAATACAGAGAATGCATTAGGGTAAAAAAACACAAAGCCTTTAGCACTACTTTAAGTGAAAAAAGTTTAACAAAATAAAATAAAAAGCATGAAAAAGTTACATATGCACTCTGGAGTGAGAGCAATCATTCTTGGGCTATCATGCTATCATGGTTATCTCCAAAATAATATCTGGTAAAGACTTTTAAAGCATTGCATATGGGCAATTTTGGGTACCATAGTTTTTCAGCACTTCATGAGTGCACATATTTTTGAGGTGGAATATCGATTTACTCAACGTAACCTCATCTTTTATATTTTACCAAAAAAGAGGGAATTATATTGTGTTTGTCTGCACTAAAATAATTTCAAAGCCCTTTTTACTTAAAATTTGGGTTTGCTAAACAGCTGTGCTCATAAAACATTGCCACTATTTTATTCCAAAGGGTCTTCAGAAAATATATGATATATAATTTTGGGGGGAAGGGGCTAAGTAATCCTCAGGCCTAAAATGTGCATTTTAAAATGTATGCAATTAAACAAGGGCAGTGAAAGGGTTAAAATGACAGCAGATAACTTTAGATGGAAAAATCAAGGGTAAAATTAGGACTACGCTCTTCTAATATGGTATTAAGAGTGTCCAAGGCATACTAATACACATAATCCATGATAGAACTTAAAAGGGAACTGGATGAAGGCAAAGGTTTGATAACACAATAGATTGACAAAATGTCTTTTAGGAGTCAAGGTTCTGACAAATCTGTGAAAAATGATTAGGCCTGAGGTGGGAGCAAAAGTTAGACCTTAAGAAAATAGCTGCTGGTGAAAGATCAGTGTTAGAGAAAACATAACTCTTGATAGTTACATTTATACAACTTTGGGTTGTTTCGTGCCCCATAACCCCCTACAGGCCCATCTTACAGTTTTTTTCCATTTAGTGCTTAGTGGGGTTTGGTTAAAAATGTTTAGATTTAGGAATCACCTCAGGGATCTTAAATCCAAAAGAGAGGGGACAGTAAAGAGAGACAGCTGGAGGAATCTCACAAGTATTAGTACAGGATTATCTTTCCAGCTAATCTGCTTTGAGTGCCCAAAAACAAAAAGGATTTCGATGTTAATTTTGCCCCTTTCATCCTATTCTTGTTTATCATCTGCCACCCCCTTTTTTTTATCCTATCTTTTTCTTTTTCAATATTAATTTTTATACTCCATTATCTGTTAATACAGATAAAAGTCCTTCCCTTTTATTCATTTTTATTTTGCTCTATGTGGTTTCTATTTTAAATAGTCATAATGTGTTCAGTACTCCTTCCAGCTATTGCGGTAGGTGCTCTTCCATTAAGAGAGTGCCTGATCGCAGAGCACCAGCTGCTGCAGGATGTCACTGACAGTGACTGCTCTGACAGTTCTTGGAGACTCAATTTGTTATAATGCCTCCTTCTGAGGCTCATTTGGCTCCCCTCCCCTGATGCTATGGAACAGCCTGGGTGCTATTTTATCCCCTCTCTAACTTGTAAGTACTGTGGAGGCACTCCACTATTTAGGATACAAACTCAGCTCCCCCCTCCTTTTTTGTACTAGCTTTGGATGTGTTTGTATTTTTTTTCCATTGGTGTCCACCTCAGAAAATCCATCTTGGCTTGTGTCCTCTCCTATTACCAGCTACCTAGTGATAGTGCCTCAATGTTTGTTGGCGAGACCTGGTGCACCTTGGGATAATTTAACCTGATGATATGCCCCAATAAAGTAACTTCATTGTAAGTGTATTTTTGTTTTAATTATATATTTATTAAAGTGAATTTATCTGAACTGCACTACTTCTGTTGTTATGTTCTGCATGTATATGTTGCCTTTGGATATACACAGTGTGGGGGGTGTTAGCTCAGCAGTGGGTGGGTGTGACTCCGTGGGTGAGTTCACACCACAGAAATTGGGCATAGCAAACAATGATCTCTTCAGGTGAAAACACATGTGCAGTTTATTTACACTATTTACAAGGAAAATTTGAACAAAACAAACAAAACATGAAAATAAATCCTTGCCTTTTGGCCACTTACTACACACACTGTTTCCCTCACTAACAACTAGGTGCAACCTTGTGCTGGCCCTAGCACCTATCTCCCTATTCAATAAACGGCCACACAGACTGTGTTTCACCGCACAAGTTTTGGTCTGTTTTCTTTATCACCACACAGGTAGGTAGAAAACTCCCCAGTCTACTCAGGCATAAAACTGGTTCCAGGGTGGAGCAAATCTCTGAGCAGTCTGGGGGTTCTTATAGAGGCCCAAAGAGCGAGCTTACTTCACCTGGGCTCATTACCTCTACCATTCCAGCACTCCCAGCACTCCCTATAGTGGAATAAATCTGCACACAACCTGAAACTGGGACACACATACTGTATATGCCATCCTGGATACACCCAGGTGATTTTACCTGCCTGCTGTCACAACAGAGATTACAAAGATATGCTGATTTGCATTGATACCAGTGTAGTGTGGGTTATTTGAAGATTTTACATAATAAAATGCATTATACCCCCTCATATTGGCCACAACAGACCAAGAAACTGAAGTGCAGAGATCTCACCAACAGAGAGCTTCTATAAAAATTGAAAGATCAATTTTATGTTGGTTCATCCTTTGAAATATGTTTATATCAAGAACAGAACATGGTGTCAACATAATTCTACTATTCAAAGGATAGATAGCATTAAAACACCAAAAAATCATCCATATATTTCTGGCATATTGGAGTTTCCATTGTGGCTTGTGTGAAAATCGGATAATAACTTCTTTGCGTGCACAGTTTAAGGAATGCTTTGTTCATGTCATAAACTATACTTAACAAAATGTCATATATCAATCTGACTAAACCCGTAGAGTTAATATAACCTATGAATACCATGAGAACGCTAATATCTTGTAGAAATGGCTGCAAACATGGGATATTTATGATGACAATAAAAGAGCTGTCTAGATGACACTTTCATGAGCGATAAATGTATATAGTGTAGGATTATTTTGGCAATCATGCCCTTTACACTACAGAACAAAATCCACAGAAAAAGTTCATGAACACTTAGAAAACATAAACCTAAATATCATTTTATCTTCTATTCTATTTATTGTTTTCTAGACTTCTAATATTTTAAATTCAATTGTTTTCCTTTTTCACATTGTAGTGATACCCTAAAACATTAATAGGGAGTTTTACTGTAAGTAGAAAGTCTAGTTAGTATTATGGAACAGACAATAATGAGGTGATTATTAATTAAACAGGGTTTTGGGAACTGAATGAGGAAAGAGGGAAAAAAAAGACTACCATGAAAGATGTAATTAAAATTGAGCATTATGCTCCTGTATCAAGTGATGATTTATGAGTCTTATTAATTGTCATACTTTTTTCTCACAGGCCCAGTGGGAAGGACTCACCGGACGGATCGTGTTTAACAAAACCAGTGGGCTACGAACAGATTTTGATCTAGATATCATAAGCCTGAAAGAAGATGGCCTTGAAAAGGTATGGGTACATTTAACTCAGTGCTTTGCATATCTCTCTTACCTTGTTCTATGGTTGCAAAACCTTTTAAGATAGCCTTTATTTCAAGGTCACTAAGAACTCATTGACATCATAATTCCTAAAAGGTCAGTCAAACAGATGGTACTAGCATATTCATAATTACATAATTTTGTCTTAATTGATCCATTATGTTTTCTTTCTGTTTCATGAATATATTGAGGAATACTATACAATAGAGCAGGATATTGTACACTCAATCTCTGTATAATTAACTTCTTGGAAGTGAATGGGAGCTTGGGGCAAAGAAAATTAAAACAGCAGAATTTTTGCTTGGACCAGCCACTCTGACTCTTTGTTCTATTTTAGTAGAGAATGAAAGAGGAAATGTGACTCGTTGCTAAGGGCAGCGTGTGACAATATTGAGGTCTGATGAATCCCTGTATGAGGAGCATAGGGGAGTCATACTGAACACCATGCCACCCATTGTTTTTTTTTATTCTTTATTTACGAAAAGACAGGAGGATAGCAACACACACTGGTACATGAATAGTGGTATAGCTCAACTTATAAATGAACATAGACAAATTAACAGGTAGGAGTAATGGCACAGATATTTAGCATACTTCCATGTACATATCAAGAACAACCTTGTTGAGAAAACCATATCCATGAAGACCATCGAGGTATAGAAAGTGTGACATTTCCTCCTATCCGATTTTTTACAAGAATAAGCAATAGTAGAAGAAGGTGAAGCATAGAGAAAGTAAATCTTAAGGGTAGACAGAAAGAAAAGTAGAAAAGAAAAAGAAGGGGGTAGAACTGCTCCAGGAAAGGGAAGGATACGTGGATGATTAAGAGAAATTAGAGAGCCAAAGAATGTTTGAGAAGGAGAGATGAATAAGAAGAGGAAAAATAAATAAATAATGAGAAAATAAAAAAAGGGGCTCCATCCAGGGGATGAAGCCACCGACACAATCTAACATCTAAAAACACGCTGCCACCCATTTTTGCCAAAATTTGCAAGTGGGTAATAAAAATGGTCAGATTTAAATCTAATGTCTATGCTAAGCATTCATGGGAGGTGACACTGTGACAAAACACATCCCAGCTTAAGAGACATTTAAAATTTAACATGAGGCCAGCTACAAAAGGATATAGAGTGTCATAAACCTCCAGTAGCAGTGTCTTTAAAAGATTTCTAATGAGCCCTGATATAAATGGCCAGTTGTCAATAGTCGTGCAAAACTGATAAGTAATACTCATCCTGAGTCTGGTTTTTTTTTTTACTACCAGGGACAAACTTTATACACAATTTATTATTCCTAGAGTTATAGTCATAAAAAGTTATCATATTAATGGAAGAAAATATACAATTTAGTTAGACACCAAACACACCTATATTACAAGGTACAGAAGGCTACTAGGCACAGACTTCTGGGAGGAAACATAGATCAGCAATATAATATGTCTGTTTTTTTATAAATTCGTATGTCATTCTGCTAAATTATATGTTGGCTGTGGGATTGTGAAGCTCTGACAGATGGAAACATAGATGTATTTAGAATAGTTAGTGTTAAGGGTGTGCCTCCTAAGTACAATAAAATACTGCCTAGGCTCCTTCAGCACATTCCTCGGATTTGTTTGATTGGTTGTGTTAATTTTGTAATGCCCTCTTTGGGGACCAGAGAAGATAACTGCATTTACAGATCGGAGCTCTCTTCTTACCATCAAAACAATGCAGGAATACTTAGAGTCATTTATGAGAGCCGGTGACTCTGTTATATCATATTGGACTTACTCTGCAAGTCTTTTCTTTCATAAAAACAATTTTTAAAAATCCTTAAAGAAAAACTCCAGGAGGATACTAAGCATTAACAATCTGCCACCTTCTGTCTCTCTCTCATCTTTACAATTTACTAGTTCACTGAGTGCTGATAGTATAGCTCTTGCTATACTTATAGCACTTCGATACACTTACTGTTTTGTTTATCTGATCCAGCGGCGCCATCCGCTTTCGTTTCAGCACCCCCACCCATTGGAAGTTGGGGCATTTTTGCTCAGGAGTGTCCCCTACATGACTTTAACACAAAGGGGTACACAATAATATGTAACCTGATGCAATCCACAGTAATGTAGCACAATACAGTAGTAAATGGGGGTGCAGGGATAAACTACACATGATGTAACCCATCACACTGCTATTCACTGTAATGTAGCACAATTCAGAACAATATATAGAACTGTAAAGCTCTGTAAATGGCACTTCATGGCCATAACTATCTCTTCCTAAAAACACTCTGTCAGATATCCATTTCTGCTTTAACACACATTGACAAAAAGCTGCTGGGAACTCTGACTATTATAGGGAGAGTGCTCACACATAAGAAAACTCCCATTATTGGTCCTTCCAAGCCACCCCAACTACAGTTCAAAGGCCAGGATGTGCATGATTGGTAATCAGTTGCTATGACATTGAACAATTACATTAGTTTGATGGAAGAACTCATGATTGACCGGAACCTATTGCTCCTTACTACTGGTTGCTCCCATCTTGGATGTGATATCAGCAGCCACAGCAGTCTTAGGGCCTGTTCACATGAGATCAGGTCCTGATCAGGTCCTGATCAGGTCCTGATCAGCAGACGTGGAGCTGCTGATGCATTGCGTTTTTGGCTGCGTTTTGGCCGCTTTTTGGATGCGTTCCAGCAAAAAAAAAACAACATTTTTTTTGCTGGAGTGGGGCTGTTAGTATGTTAGCTGCAGCGCAGTGCATTTTTGATGCGTTTTTGACGCGTTTGCGTATCCGTTCCGTTTCCGGACCTGACAAAATGTGACATGCAGTATTTTTTCTGTCGTAAGCTGAACGGACTGCGCACGTGAGAACTGGAGCCCATAAAACACATAGGGATACATTGGGATGCATTTTGAGTGCAGCAGCGTACGGAGCCGGTCAGCACACAAAACGGACGTCGTGTGAACAGGCCCTTAGAGCTGTTACTCAAGTGACACACTGTATTATTCAATGTAGGAAGAGGAATCACCAGCACTCAGTAGAATAATCCAACATGTCCATTTATTGGACATAGACGTCACACAATCACAAGGCTCTTGTGATTGTGTGATGTCTGTGTCCAATAAATGGACATGTTGGATTATTCTACTGAGTGCTGGTGATTCCTCTTCCTACATTGTGTCTGCACGGTGCCATCCGTGTTCATCACTACAAGCACCATTGTCTACACAGGCCTGGATTGCTGCAAGGTGTGCAGAGGATTTCCCCTTCTATCCACACTGTATTATTCCACATCGCTTCTCCCCAGCAGCTACACTGAAGATTATGCAGGGAATTGAAGAGAGGGCTGGAGGAGTTGGACCAGCACAAAGATTACTAAGACGCTCCCAGAATAGGCTATGGTGTGCAAGGAGGAAGTGGGTGTGCTAGGGAAATGACTCTGCAAGAGTAATAAAATGTCTTTCAAGTTTAAAGGCATAATTAAGTGTAAATAAGGCACAACTGCAAATAAAAAATAATTTATGGAAAGGAGAGCATTGCGAATAAGCATTTAAAATACTTGATTTTGTGTGTTTACCTACAGGTTTTTTTAAGTTGTAGAGAAGACTAATGAATGAATTGCACTTTTCATTTTGTGAACTTCAACAGAAAAACAGTAGCTAGCCCTTACTAAGAGCAACATGGATATATAATGGGGAAATAGCTGCAGTTAATTTGAAGACCATGTGAGAATATACAAGATTCCAGATTGCCAGTTCAGATCAGCACTAAAGCTTAATCCCACAACAGCAGTATCTAATTTGCTTTTTTTCAAAATCAGGGTAGCCCAATGCTTTGTAAACAAATGTCAGAATATAGGAAAGAGAATAAAGATATTTGAAAAATCAGTATGGGGATTTTAGTTAAAACTTAAATCAGGCATTAACTGCAATTTATGGTTCTACACGGCATGGACATTTGTACTTAGAGCACCGATGTTTATTGACTGCTTGTTAGGCAAAATTATCATAATACATGCACTAATAATGTGGTGGAAAGGACAGAAGTGAAACTCTTAGCAACCTGATCTTCTGGCATTGCAAATACACTCCGGGACTTTCAGAGTTCTAATGCAAAAGCATGTTCCAATGTTAGCCTAGTTTTAGCCGGGTTCATCTTTTCACTTTTTACATCAATTCCCTCCTTTTATAATTCTTAACTTTGCTTTGTCATTGTCGCCATGTGACATTTTGTATTCTGCTGGTTTAAAATATTTTATGTACATATAGGAGCTGCTATGTGTGCAAAAAATGATCCAAGTAACACTTACAGGATAAGAAAGCCCTAGTCAGAAAACCCTCAAATCAGAAAAAAAACTGCAGAAACAAATAAAATGTTGAGTTTATGGTAATTTTATGATAAGATGCTGTATAATTCTAAAGGCAATATGGGCGTAAAGGAAGAATCTATTATTTATTTTACTGGATGAAAGTTGAAATGTCAGCTTAATACAGTGGTATGAAAAAGCCTAATATTGTCCAATTGTAATTTGAGTTATGTAGGAAGCCATTTGATTCTATTGTATATTTAACATTGGGTCCATTAATGCAATTTTTTTGGCATTTGTACTTATGTTTTTATATACTTGTGTTTGAAAATAAGCATTTACTATCCGCAGCACCGGTGCCCTTTTCTCTGTGGGAACCATTTTTCTTTCTTTCAGAGTACTGTCACGTTCACACTAAATACCTTTTGGTTTTGTAGTCTTTCCTAACAAATAATGATTTTACTTATTTATTTTCAGAAAATAAATGACATTCCTTTGGTAAATTGGTTTAGTAAAGTAATTATAGAGATTCATTTGAAAGAAACAGGGAATAAATAAATCAAAAAATGTTTCAGAGATAACCCAGAGATAGGTTCCAAGAATTAGTGCAACCCCAGATATCAACAAACATATAAATAACTAAAAGGCTTATTCACTGAGTGAATAACCGAGCCAAAGTGA